CGAAGCGGCAGTGCTGGGCGGCGGGGATCCTGCCGCGGCGAGTCCGAGCTCTTCCCTGGGGCGAGCATCGCTTCCGCGCCCTCCGCCCGTTCCCGGCGGGTAAATGTAGCGGGAACGGGCCGTTCTTGGAACCTGAAACGGAGCAGCAGTGGAGGGGGAGTCTTCTGCTGCGGTACTGCCCGAGATTGACATTTCTGGCGGTGACGGCAACGTCCGAAACGGTATGGAAGAGCCTCGGTGGAGAGAAGGCGATGAAGTCCCCAGGCGGCAAGTTTTCCTCGGCAGGTTTAGCACCGCGTCTCCGCGCAGGTGTGCACCCGCCCCGGGCACCGTCCTGCGGGCATTTCACAGGCGCTGGCGCTTCCTCAGGGTGTCCCGAGGAAGGCACGTGCTGGCCCTGAGTTGACAAGGCATTGAAAAGAGGGACTCTGAAGTGCTGTCCCCGAGCCTGAGGTCGACCTCTGTAACATGACGTACGCCGGGTAGCCAGCTAATCTCGAAAGCCATTCTTGCTCAAAAGCAGGGGTAGTGTCTTTTTGTTCTGGGAAAAGGCTTTCCTTTTCTGTAAGGTAAGGATGCAGAACATTGTGGATTTTCATTTTAAGGATTGGAATGGCCTAAGAAAACCTTTTTTATTACCATTCCTGGGTATGGCTTTATTATTCCATAATAAAATAAACTAATTCCTGTTCTCTGCCATTATGAATTCAGAGGTGAGGATCATTCATGACTTGGGGGTTAACTTTTTTCCATCTGGATATGAACATATGGATGTGAACAAGGGGAATAAAAGACCACCTACAGCTGAATGAGAGGCATTTTTTTTCCTGTGTAAAAAAATAGAAAACTTATTACAAAGTTTTAAGTCTGTTTTTTGTCTGTAATAAGATAATTGGTATTTCTGCAGATGGAGATAGTAGAGTAGAATTATGTATTCTGTGTCGTTCTAAGTTGAATAATACTTTAATCTTCTCTTGGAGTGAAGTCAACAAAAATTATGAATACTTCCATGTGCTTATTTTTATTGTATTAATTTTAGGGGTATTAAAAACGTGTGGTAAAAACATTAAAGTAGAATAAGTAAGTCTAAATATGCCAGTTTCTTTAATGTGTTTCTTGTTCTGGAAGCCTAGCAAGCAAGTGCCTCTGTAATGCATGTTTCTCTGTTCGTTACGGTCCTTTCTTATGAATATAAGTGCACTAGACAGAGCTGAAGTATTTTCACAATGTAGTAATGAGTCTTTTCTATTTCTTCTTATTTTATTTTTTCAGAACTATCATGACATCATGTCTTGCCACCCAGAAAACTTTCAGTGGGAGCACTGGAGCTTTGAAAATGTTGCTACCTTACTTGCTCACCGGTTTCCTAATAGTTTTATTTGGGTTGTGAAGTGTTCTCGAATGCACCTGCACAAATTCAGTTGTTATGACAACTTTGTGGCGAGCAACATGTTTGGAGCACCAGAGCACAGCACTGACTTTGGAGCTTTCAAGCATCTCCATGCATTGCTAGTTAATGCATTCAGACTCTCTCAGAATATTCTGCTGTCCCAGAAAATTGTGCATGATGTCAGCAAGGATGCAAAAATAGCTGCTTGTAAATTACAGCCGCAGTCTGTTCCTACGACGAATGGCTGCTCATCCACAGAAGGAGAGAGAGATTGTGAATGCTCTAATAATTCTGCTATGAACTTCATTATACCGTCTGCTGTAGGTGCAGTGTCGTTTACTTTGATTGGCTTCAGTAAAGGTTGTGTGGTTTTGAACCAGCTGCTTTATGAGCTGAAGGAAGCTAAAAAAGACAAGAATACAGATGCCTTCTTAAAAAACATAAAAGCAATTTACTGGCTGGATGGTGGTCACTCGGGAGGAAGCAATACTTGGGTTACTTACCCTGAAGTGCTGAAAGAACTTGCACAGACAGGAATTGAAGTTCATGCTCATGTTACACCATACCAAGTGTTTGACACAATGAGGTCATGGATTGGGAGAGAGCATGAGAAATTTGTACAGATACTTGAAGAATTTGGTGTGGAAATAAACGATCAACTACATTTTGCTGATGACGTTCCCTCCTTAGATAACCATTTCAGAGTTCATGAAGTATTTTGAGGCTGTATGTATCTGAATAGTATATTCATTGTAAAAGCACTTTTGACACTGTAGATGTCATCTAGATTTACAACTTTGAGCAGATGCTTTCTAAAGAGAATATTAAATCAGTCCTGCATTGCTGATAGATACTACATATAAATTTCAGTAGCTTAAAAAGAAGGATTGGGACCCCATATCTACAACAGATGTTGTCATTTGATTCCTGGAAAACAGTGTTATGAAGAACTATCCTATAAATGTATTTTTCTTAAATGTGAATGTTTATTCTCAACCTGTTGGCAAAACTTTTAGTCCTGGATGTCTAACATCATGGACTGCCTTTAATGGGAGCTTAAAGTACTCAAGACTTTCAAACATCTGGTTACTTCAATTTAGTAGCTTGCAGGGCTAAAAACTTTGGTCTTTGTCAGTAACAGATGTAATGTTAGTATTTTGGCTTAAGGAAAATTATGATTGCTAGAACAATCTTAGTTATATATTTTGGTGAAAATTGTTTTAATTAGTTAATTAAATCTTCCAGTTTTGTAACATTTCTTCTAATTGAAACAAAGTCACAAGTATTGATGTTTGGACTAGTAGTGCCAATCCACTTTTCTTCCTTATATATGCCTTGCCTTTTCTGTCGCTATAAAATTTCATTAATTCATTGTGTAGTATCTGCTAGTGAATAGCCATTTCACCTGGGGGCTTGAAAATGTTGACATAGCTACGTTAAGTGACCAAGAATGTTGAGGAGGCTTATTGCTGTTTCAACATACTTTGCTATCGCTTTGACTAACTTCTATAAGGACCAGCAGTAATACCTGTACTTTCAAGTCAAGAGGTGTCTTTATTCCTGCCTTTGGACTGGTGAGGTTTTTCTTGATAATTGCTGCGTTGATGTTGATCTAAATCGAGCCATAAGTATATAACATATTACAAGTTGCGTAAAAATTTTCAGACTACATTGGCTGTAGCTGTTTCAAAATGTTTCTGTTTTTAGAACTGTTATCTCCTTTAAATGTATTGCAGTAGTTGCTTCCAGAGCCACACAAAAATCTCTTTTCAGAGCCTTATTTTTCTCACAGACCCTCCCCCAATTAAATACAAAGCTGGACAAATAAGATGCAAAAGATGTAATCTAGTTCAGGCCCCAAACCTGAATGTTCCTCAGAAAGAATTACTGAAAGACGGACAAACAAGAGAATTAGCGGAACTTTTCTACTGTTGTAAGTAATGTTTTCTGTTTACCTACAAATAAATCTTAGAATCACTCTTGAAGACAACTGCAGCTATTAACAATGAACCAGTAGCTTAAAATAGTTTTGGATTTCCTGGAAGTATAGACATACAAAAGCAAGTTAGCAAAACACTGTGAAGATTACACAGACAGATGTGGCTCACTTCTGAAAAAAGGCATTTTATTCAACTTTGTTCCTATGCTTGATGGCTTAGCAACATCTTCCCCCTGCTTCTTGCTTTCCATGACTCTTACACTGTGGAATGAAAGTCCTGGGTCATCTTTCTTCTATTGGCATCATTAAAACTTACAAGGTTCATTGGAGATGGTATTTTCACCACTCTTGGAGAGGTTGTGCACGTTAGTGATCACTGAAGAATGAGAAGTGTTGAACTCTTAAGGAAATTTTCTTAATACTCAAAATACTAGGGGTAGTAGGATTATGCATACAGAATGCACCTTACAATGTGAACGCGAACTCTATTACTAATAATAATTAGACTAACGTACCTAGTTGATCAAAAGGGGAAATAGCTAGGCTAACTTGAGTATGCTAAAACTTGCCCTATCCAGTAATAGTGCAGATCACAGACCACTTTCTAAACAATTCTGTGCCAGCCAAAACAGCAGGAGTAGGTTGTTGCAAGCTTTTGGAAACAGTAAAATATTGACATTGTCTTCAGAAGTTTCTGGATGGCTGTCCTGTGAAAATAATATTAACCTATTTGATGGAGGCTGCTTACAATAACTTAAATAAAATAGGCTCAAGTGTTGATGTATTAATTTGAAGAATAAGCACTTTGTTGTAAAACTAATCTTGTTTTGAGACTTAATGTTGTGGCGGGAAAACTGGTTGGTTTTCGTTCTCTAAACAGTTGTAGTACTCTGTTGGAATGTGCCTCTGTCATTCACTACAATGCATGCTAAAAATAAATTTTGGAAACAATGTAGACAGTTATTTCTAATGGGTGAAACCACTTTGATGTGAATGTAAAACCATTAAACAAGGAATGTGCAGTTAAGTTTTGTGGATTAAGCTTTATCGGGTGTTTGTGGGGACCTAGTTCAAAAAAAATCAGGTTTATTTGCTAGCTTTTCGTCAAAGGCAGGCTTTGTATTTGTGTAGTCAGCATCTGCAATTCTAAAACAGCTTACTGGCATCTTGCATACATGGGAAAGCTGGCATGAAGTACCCAAGGGTGTGAACATTTCTATGTTAGGATGAAATGGGTCATAGTTCGTGTATGCCAGGTTTTCAATGTTAACTGTAAAGGCAGTTTTTAATAACCTTAGATGTAAATGCCTGAAGCTAAGTGATTCTCATGCTTACAGTGGTTTAGTTCAAGACGTTTCTGGTTTTGAATGGAGTGAGCAACATTACACAGTCCTTAGTACAACCTAGTATGTAATATCTGGTATTCTTTATATTGCATGCTTGTTTCTTGTGCAATAGACAAGACATTCTTCAGGTTTTGAGAAATGCTGGAGTGTTTTAAGCTGTGCCTGTTAAATTCCTTTAAAACAGGCCTTGATTATGTGAAATTGTCCAGATTCTGGTATGACTTACATGATTTTATTTTGCGTGCATCTTAAATACTAGAAACTTTGGTAACCTTCTTCCTATCTAGGACTAATTTAATCGCATCTCTCTAAATGCTACTGCATAAATCAGTACCAGCCCCTGATTCTGAAAGGTGATTAAGGGTCAAAATCTTAACACATTGCTGAAAGGAGCAATCTCTTCTGTCCTCCCATTGATAACATCCTACTGTCTCCCTTATGGTAGCACAAGCACTTTATGGTGACCTGTTCTGTCTTACTAAATTAACATTATTGCTGATAGAGATAACCAACTGTGGATATTCACAGATCAAAGTCATTGTGCACAGTCACATGCTCGAGTTTTCCCAACAGGTTCTTTTTGAGCTATTTGCTGAAAGAAAATGTCACCGTTTTTTTTCCTCCCTCTTACGGTGCTTTTTACAATGCTGTCTTTCCTAAGCTAACAGTTACTTCACTGTCTCCGCAGATAAACAAGATCTGTTGTCTGAAAGCTGAAGCACTGAGGTTAAAGTATAGTCATCCATTTACCTTGAATGCTCATTGTAAATTATGTGGAGTCTTATTAGTTAATATAAGAGAGAAGTTAAAGAACAGTAAAAATTTTGGAATGTGCGTGCTCTGTTGTGAGCTATATCTTTAGGTATATCACTGCCTAGCAGAATCCACAAACATGAATTGTGTGCCTGCTGTCTCTGTGCAATACAAAAGCAAAGGTGGATGTCTCAGACTGCAAGGCACAAGAGACAGCCTCTTCAAGTCACCCTTGGAGTTACTTCTTCAAAATCTTTTTAATCTTATATTGAAATCTCATTTCATTTTTTTAAAGAAAAAAAATTTACTTCTGATGCTCATAACGTGATGAAAATTTAGACACTCTTAAATATTGCTGATGGAGACCCTAAGGCCAAGGCTGGCTTTCTGTTGGTCTTATTGATCTCTTAACTCTGTTCAGATGCAAGGTAACTATATCTAACTCAAATAAAATAACATGAAGTCATTAAGCAGTTAGTCCATGATCATAGAACACCTATGTGGCAGAAACAAGCATTACTTCTCCCAATTCCAGACATACTGTTCCTGACTAAATTTATTATATCAGTTTCAACAGCATAATTCACTCCTCCCGCTGACAAGCACTTGCACAGGATTAGCTGTTCCACGTCACTGTGGAAACCATGAAAAACTGATTCAGGCATTCATTTTGCATACAGTGTAGTGTGGTTTATAAAGTAGTGTTGGCTTTGTTGTCGTTTCCTGTCATTAGGGCTTCATTACGTGTTTCTAAGTGACCCAAGAAATGCTGAATTCTACTTAAGCAAATGACCAGAAAAGCATCTGGTAGAACAAAAGGGAAAAACATTTTCTTATCTGTTTTTTCTTCATGTGTATAAATGTCTCATGTACTTGAAAAGGAGCAGAATGCCATTACTTCAAGGTTCAGAATAAATTTTCCTTCTTTTAGTACGCTTTCAGAGAGCACTTTCAGTCATGATTGTTAGTTTCCTTTGTTGAACTTGGCACTTCAGAGCTGAGTTGTTTCTAAAGAAAGCACTGCTGCAAGACACAGAAAACAGTCAAGAGACGTACCAGTGCTGAAGTGCAAAACAAGGCTCTTCACATTTCCCACACCAGAATTTACCCTCTGAGCAAAACTCCTAAGCCTGGGTGTCCAATAAAGCTATTGCATCCCTTACAGGCTATCCGCGTGGCTCTTCTTTCCTATTTCTCATCATGAGAAATACATTGATTTTGCGTGATGGAAGTTTTAAGCAATTCATGTACTGCTCAACAGCTGAGGTATAAATGTTTTCACAGCAAAAATTGTCCATTACTGCGATCTGCGTTATTGCAAGCAATGGCTTCTGAGCATTTTTGTACGAACATAGCATCACACATGGAGCTGTGCATTTTACATGGTTGAGCAGTTCTTTTAATGGTTTCAATCTGCTCTTGAAAATGTTGACTGGGAACAGATCTGAACGATTGGAAAGGAAGCAATCTGCTCTTGTTGCTCTCAGGAATTACCACTTAAAAGAGATCATTGCTCTCAGGAATTACACATACAGAGCTCAGAATCTATTCCCACTCCTAGAGTCTGACCCAGACCAAAATAGGAAATCTTAACATGCAACTTCACCGCAAATGTAGGTAACTGTCCAAAAAAAATGTAAAATTTCATCTGTCCTTCTACTAACACCAGAATCTTTGGTTACTGAGTGATAATAACTTATAGAGAATCCCTCATAAAAGTTACTGCCTCAGAATGTCTATCTATCTTCAACACTTGTGTTGTTTGCATGGAAACATCTAAACATCTCGGGTTTGGGAAGATACATTTTGGCCTGAGGAAAAAAGAATCAAGTCTGTACAGGAATTTTTTTGAAGCTGTGAAGTGATGCATATTGGGATCACACCATATGTAATATCACCTCTACCATGTTAAAATCATCCTCATCTTAGTCAAGTTAGTAGTCCTGTTGTGGGTCTAACAGCGTGAATGAGGCAAATTGTTTCATCCTGCATATTTAAAAAAGATTGAAAATGTATTTCTGATCTGTTGTGATCAAGTCAAGCCCTTTCACATTAGGCATTAACTTGACACTTGTATTAAGAACCTAGACCCTGTCTAGCTCCTGGAAACACGTTCTTAAGTTACATACATCGAATCTTCAGGACTTACATGATAGGCAGCTTTTTAGTGACTTGTTTAATAGTTTGGCGAGAATATTTTGACATAATTTTTTTCATTTGATTCTTTCCACACCAATCACATTAAGAAAAAATTTATAAAACATTTATCTTATGACATTATTTATCATCCTTCATACTTCACATGACCAAGAATAAGTAATTCTTTCCAGGTGTTGATTTGTAATGAACTTAAGTTTTAAAGGCCTCAGTCACCAAATTTTTGAAGTAATTCAAAGTTTGCAGTAGGCCAAGTTTAAACTGCTGCTTTCAGATAACTGTCTATATTTACGTATCTTAGCTCATCTTCCAGTCCTGGGCAGCCTGCATCACCTAATTCCTCTGTTGAATACACTGTTTGAAGTGGCTGTTTTGAATGCTTAAGATGGTCAGTGTTTATTTTTCTAATACCTGTTACCACAACTTCCTCTGTTTTATTGTGGCATGATCCCATTTTGCTTTAGGTCTCTAAAGGACAAACTTCCACAAAATGCTCTAATTCTTTGTTAGTTCAGTAATGGATTTTTAAGTGTGGCTACATGTATTCTCTCACTGTATTAGCTGGAAGTTACTACTTTAATCCTTTCACCATTCATTCATCACTTCACTGCTTGTTTCATACCATGTAGCACAGTGGTTAGAAAGCACCAAGTAATTAATTTTTTTTTAACACAGTAACTTTAAGTTTTTTCTCACTAGTCTCATTATGCTTAAATTAAGAAAATACATTTTTAAACTGCTTTGTTTCTTCTTTTATAGCATTTCAGAACAACTGTTTTATAGAAGTTATTTAATAAGAAGTTGAAGAAACTGGTTCAAGGTGAAAAAAGGGTGGCACTGACAGAACAATTACTGTGCTGGTCTTCCCACAGATCTACATAGAATAGTTTTTGTTGATCTTTGTTGGATATGCACTTACATCACATCTCGTGGGGTTTACTGACAGTCTTAGAGAAGTGAAAACCAAAGGGGTCATGGGGAGGGAAAAAAAACCCTGACACTATCATTGCAGAGATTTCTCACAGAACACTGGGAGAGAAGCATGAGCCAGGCTGACCAGGGTGAGATAATCTCATTTGCTGACATATAAAATTAAAATAAAGGCTTCATTTTAAAGCTGGTAGTGTGAAGAAGAAATAGCCGCACTTGCTATAGCACTTGGCTCACATTTAATTCAGCATGACCCTTCCTCCCAGCCAGATACCCACTTTCCAATCCAAACTTCATTCTAGCCTAAACAAGTAAATTATTGTAGCTTTCCTGCTGGGGCTACCTCAGCACTAATAACTGCAACTGAAGGAGGCAAGGGTTTAATTTGGCCTAATTTAGATTAATAGTTTAATAGCCTCCCTTACAAAGCAAAAAGAAGGATTGAAAAATATTCAAAATGGCATCCTGAATACCTGTGGCTTGACAGATCTTATTTATGCTTTTTACATACATACTATGAAAGAAGTATTATTGAAAATCTTAGCATCACCATTAAGTGGCACGGCAGTGAATGCATTTGACCCAGAGGATTTTCATCCTTTTACTTTCTCCTCTACCCAAGAGCCCCAAATGGCTCCCAGCCTCCCTCTGGAAGACAGCAGGCACTTCTCACAAGCTGAGACATAAGCAGATCGCTCATACACTGATTGCTGCTCCATGAAGCTTTCCTTATTTATATGTGAGTGTTGAGGGGGCCTGAGAACATCGAGCTAGCACCTCTCTTTTGGGAACGGAGAATCAAGAAATGGCAGAATGAGGGATCAGCACAGTACTTCTCTGTACTAGCACATTGAGAAACTGCCAGTGGTTAGAGTTAAAAGAGATAGCTGTGCAGGCACAATGCTGGAACACAGCTTTGTCTAGCCCTGCAGGCTCTCTGAGCCTCTCCATTTAGTCCTAACACACAAAGAATATGCTCTGTACACCTCTGCAGTTCAGATGGGGCCCTCAACATTACCAGTTCAACAAAGCCAAGAGGCTTCCCCAGCCTAACAGATACAGAGATTCTGCCTCAGCAGTATGCACAAGCCATCCTTGTTCAGTTTTGAACAAAAATTTTGGGAGACCTATTTGTGATCCCAAATTTGAATTCTACCCTCAGAACGTACAATGACGCCCATCAGAATCGCTTGGCTGGTTCCATTCATGCCTATTCATTAAGATGGCTGGGTGCCCATTCACATGGTAGCAGACTTTTTTCACTGTGTTGAACTGCCAAGAAGAACAGGTTTAGAAGAATAATCTGCACAGTGTTGCAATCTCTTGCTCTTCTGGAGAAAGTTTTTTCCAGCACTTTATTAACACCCATATCTATTTAGTCTAAGAGCTTTTGAGAAGTTACTGTTCTCAAAAAACACTGCTAGAAGTAACAGACTGACCTAAGTCAGATAAATGCTGCATTCCCCGAACAGCACAAGTAATAACATCAGAGGGATTTCAAAGGGACAATGACAACCTGTTTCTTCTGTGAGATGCCCATCTTTATTTCACAAGGCTTTTGAAAGCACTGCAATCTGCTGAAAAGTAGCCGTCTACAACAGGCTCCATCCCAGAAGGTGCGATGAAGCCCCTGTCAATATGGTAACATAAAGCATCTCAAATAGTGCTCCCAATAGAGTCTACATCTACTCCAGAACGATGAACTTCATTTCAGATTCTAGGACTGTAGCTAGATGGATTTGCAGGCACATGAGTTGCAAGTGTTTCACAGCTGCAGAAACAGCAATGCTGCCCGACTGCACTGGGGCAGTGTCAGACAAGGTTTACTGCACAATATGTTATTCAGCTAGGCATTCATTTTGCAGTCAAGCTGCTGCACAATTCTAAGCTTAACCTTGCATGATTAGCTTTTGCTTTTTTTCCATGCCCACTCTTAGTTTCATCACAAGGCAGAACAGAAACACCCCGTGCTTATTACCAGGCTATTTCTTAAAAAGAAACCACCAATGGCTTTCTTGGACCTCCTCAGAAACCACTATGGCTTTCCTAAACTTCAGTAAATGAGATAGCATTCAGGAGGACATGCAGTTACTTCTAAGTGTACATGCTGTCAGCCCAGCCCAGATACCAAAACTTCCATTCAGAAAAATTTAAGTACAACACTCCAGAAAAGTAGTTATAAGTGCAGGCACTCCAAATGTATGCCTTGTTGTGGAAGAGAGACCATCTCCAGATCAAGCAGACTGTGCACTCACTGCACATGAAGAAAAAACAAGAAAAAGCTTTAGAAGATAAACATTCGTCTATAACAAACTTTATCAACATAGTTTTTATTAATCTTAAAGAAAGTGTATGTATGTACACATGGACAGTTTCCATATTAACGTACGATTTACTTCTTTCATAGGAGCTTGCTGAATTACAATGTGTTATTTTATCCATAATCATTCCTATAGGCTTTTTCTTGGATGCGTAACACCATTCTCCGAGCATAAAAATCCCTATATTCCTCAGGTAGTTCTTCAAGTGTTTTCAAGGCCCTGTCCAAGATCTGTATAGCTCTAGAGGCTGCTGTGGGGTGTTTCCAGAAGACATTCAGTGCCACTCCAAACTCCTCAGAAATTACATTGTGGAACCACAAAGCTGTAGAAAGAAGAATGTCTAAAATGAAAATTACTATCTGAAACTTCCATATGACTCATAAGAAGTGTCAGAATCACCCAAACTAAATCTAGTTGAGGAAAAGCCTCAACTACTGTATTTTTTGTTTATTTATAAATAATAATCCCTGAATATATCACACTGTACCAAATTTAAGAAGTTCTTCAAGACGTTTACATCGATCCATAACTTCACCTAAAAGTAACAATTGCTAAAGTATAAAGAGATACTCAAATGTAAATAAACAATAGGCACATGTAGGATGAAAATAAGACATCCTCCCTGTTCACCTCACTCATCTATACTCTGAATGCAATATCTATTTTCATAGATTTAGTCCCTACTCTTGCACAGATTGCCCAGTCATTAATGTAAACCACCAGAGTCAGCCAGGTCACCCATGCAAGTATCTTTTCATAGTAAAGTCATGAGGTTTTTCAATTGAATCATCATGGCTGTGGTAAGGAAACAAAGACATTTTTGCCTCATCGAGTATATTTTTAAAATAAGTTTAATATGGTATATTCACCCTATTTCAATTTAAAGCCAAAAGACTGAATGCCATGCTTATTGCAGCTTAGTTGCTTGTATGTGCTGAAGACATAGAAAAGCTTGTTCTGAGAGATGAACAAGAAGTTTTTTTCAGGTTAGGAAGAGGGGCTGCTTCTACCTTCTCAATAATAACCACATTTCTCAAAGAACATCTCGTTTCTTCAGTGATATGCATTCCAGAATGCTGACAAAGCTAACATCATTCTCTGGACTCAAAAATCTCTACACTCCCCAGTCATTCTTAAAAGGGCCAAGTGTGGCTTAAGTTTGGACCAGCACACCTACTGGCAAAGAAAACTAGTATCTGTACTGCATAGAACAAAACAGAAATTATGTATGCTGACATTAGCAACAGTGTGACATACCTTTAACCAACTGTAACCAAAAGTTTCTCTAGAAAGAAACACAAATGCTAAGCTCAAAATTAAGTAATGAGTCCAATGTTAAGAATCTATTTTAAAACTTCATAAAAACCTATTGCCTTCTTGTTTACTGGTCTGTTTATATTGCCCAGATAATATGAAAAGCAACAGAATAAGTATGTGCCCCAAGCTCATTATAAGTTAAATTAGAAAATTAGTAACAAGTAGTAGTAGTTCAATAGGAGTAATTAAAATGTCTTTCCCTGATCACCAGAATTGCTATCTCAGTCCAGGAAGCAGCTTTACATTTTCTGCGTGGGCAGAAACATTATCAGGACTTTTACCTTTCCGTTCCCCAAAGGTGATTATAGATTTCTAGAGGTCCAATAACTCTACCACCCATAATTCTCATCAAATCATGTGCTTCACAGTTCATAGAATCATAGAATCATTTGGTTGGAAAAGGTCTTTAAAATCATTGAGCCCAACTGTACCTGTCCACTGCTAAACCATGTCTCTAAGTAAGTACCACATCTACCCATCTTTTAAATACCTGCAGGGATGGTGACTTGACCACTTCCCTCAGTAGCCCATTCCAGTGCCTGATAACCCTTTCAGTGAAGAAATTTTTCCTACGATTTAATCTAAATCTCCCCTGGTGCAATTTGAGGCCATTTCCTCTCTTCTTATCACTTGTTACTTGGGAGAAGAGACCAATGCCCACCTTGCTACACCCTCCTTTCAGGGAGTGGTAGAGGGCGATAAGGTCTCCCCTCAGCCTCGTCCAGGCTAAGCAACCCCAGTTCCCTCAGCTGCTCCTCCTCAGACTTGTGCTCCAGACCCTTCACCAGCTTCCCTGCCCTTCTCTGGACATGCTCCAGCACCTCAGTGTTGGTCTTGTAGAGAGGGGCCCAAAACTGAACCCAGTATTTGAGGTGCAGCCTCACCAGTGCCAAGTATAGGGGAAGGATGACTTCCCTGGTCCTGCTGGTCACGCTATTTCTGATACAAGCCAGGATGCCATTGGCCTTCTTGGCCACCTGGGCACGCTGCTGGCTCATAATCAGCTGGCTGTCAACCAGTACCCCCTAGATCCCTCTCTGCCAGGCAGCTTTCCAGGCACTCTTCCCCAAGCCTGCAGTGTTGCATGGCGTTGTTGTGACCCAAGTGCAGGACCCAGCACTTGGCCTTGCTGAACCTCATACAATTGGCTACAGCCCATCGATCCAGCCTGTTCAGGTCCCTCCGTAGAGCCTCCCTAACCTCAAGCAGATCAATACTTCCACCCAGTTTAGTGTCACCTGCAAACTTGCTGAGGGTGCAGTCAGTCCCCTCATCCAGGTCACTGATAAAAATGTTAAACAGAACTGGCCCCAATACTGAGCCCTGAGGAACACCACTTGTGACCGGCCACCAACTGGATTTAACTCCATTCACCACCACTCTTTGGGCCCAGCTGTCCAGCCGGTTTTTTTACCCAGCAAAGAGTATGCCTGACCAGGCCATGGGCAGCCAGTTTCTCAAGCAGAACGCTGTGGGAAACGGTGTCAAAGGCTTTACTAAAGTCCAGGTACACAACATCCACAGCCTTTCCCTCATCCACTAAGCGGGTCACTTTGTCATAGAAGGAGATCACGTTGGTCAAGCAGGATCTGCCTTTCATACACCCTTGACTGGGCCTGATCTTCTGGTTGTCCTGGATGTGCTGTGTGATGGCACTCAAGATGATCTGCTTCGTAACCTTCCCCAGCACCAAGGTCAGACTGACAGGCTAGATCACGTTGGTCAAGCAGGATCTGCCTTTCATACACCCTTGACTGGGCCTGATCTTCTGGTTGTCCTGGATGTGCTGTGTGATGGCACTCAAGATGATCTGCTTCGTAACCTTCCCCAGCACCAAGGTCAGACTGACAGGCTAATAGTTCCCCAGATCCTCCCTCTGGCCCTTCTTGTAAATGGGCATCATGCTTGCCAACCTCCAGTCAAGTGGAACTTCCCCAGTCATCCAGTACTTCTGATAGATGATGGAAAGGGGCTTGGTGAGCACATCTGCCAGCTCCCTCAGTACCCTTGGGTGGACCCCATCCAGCCGCATAGACTTGTGTGTGTCTAACTGGCCGAGCAGGTCACTTGCCATTTCGTGCTCCCCATCCCTGTCTTCTGGCTCAGGGGGCTGGGTACCCAGAGAACAGCTGACCTTACTATTAAAGACTGAGACAAAGAAGGCATTAAGTACCTCAGCCTTATCCTCATCCTTTGTCACTATGGTTCCCCCTGCATCCAGTAAAGGACGGAGATTCTCCTTGGCTCTCCTTTTGTTGTTAATATATTTATAGAAACATTTTTTATTATCTTTCACAGAATTGGCCAATTTAATTTCTAGTTGGGCTTAGTCCTTTTTCTAATTTTGTCTCTGCATGGCCTCACATCATCCTTGTGGTCCTCCTGAGATGCTTGCCCCTTCTTCCAAAGCTCATAGACTTCCCTTTTTTTTCTGAGATCCAGCCAAAGCTCTCTGTTCAGCCAGGCCGGTTTTCTTCTCCAACACATGTTGATGGCCTGCTCTTGCGCTGCCAGGATTTCCTTCTTGAAGAGCATCCAGCCTTCTTGGGCTCCTTTGCCCTTCAGGACTGCCTCCCAAGGGACTTTGTCAACCAGCCTTCTGAACAGTCCAAAAGCCTGCCCTCCAGAATTCCAAGGTGGCAGTTCTGCTGACCCCCTTCCTTCTCCAAGAATTGAGAATTCTGTCATTTCATGATTGCTGTGCCCCAGGCATCCCCCAGCCATCACATCACCCACAAGGCCTTCTCTGTTCACAAATAAAAGGTTCAGATTACCTTCCCTAGTTGGTTCACTCATGAGTTGTGTCAAGAAATTGTCTTCCACATACTCCAGGAACCTCCTAGACTGTTTCCTTTCTGCTGTATTGTATTTGCAGCAGACATCTTGGTAAGTTGAAGTCCCCCAGAGGAACAAGGGCTAGTGATTGTAAGACTTTTCCCAGTTGCTTGTAGAATATTTCATCTGCCTCTTCTTCCTGGTTGAGCGGTCTGTAACAGACTCCCACCATGATATCTGCCTTGTTGGCCTTTCCCCTGATTTTTACCCATAAACACTCAACCCTTCAGTTCTTAAGTGCCAGAGCTACAGAAGAACACAAATGGTATTTCACTAAAATTCTGTCATTAGAAAACTCAGGTCACTGAAGTAATTCCAGATTTCATGAGTTGATTTTACAGTGCTAGTCTATTAAGACACAAATTCAGAAGCATATATTGTAATCTTGAGGGAAGGTAAGGTTTGTAGATAGATATAATAATACCTTTTATTAGGCTAATTAGTACAGCTGGAAGAAGTAGACAAGTTTTGCCAGTGCCTTTAGATGCTCCTACTTATAACACAGAAATGCTTTAGTAACCTCTTACAATCCCTAGGAATGAGAAATTGCAAACAAAACTGTTTAAAACCACAGCACGGTCAGGAACTATTTGTTACTTACCTGGAATGAATAACACATCTCCTGCTTCCAGAAAACATTGATAGCGCTTGGCTTTCACAAAAAGGGGATATTTCTCTAAGTCTGGGTTATCCACATCCAGCACCTCTGACTTAGTACCTAGGAAAGTTTTCAGAAGTAATGAATAAACATTTCTACTCTTGCAACAGTAACAAAGCATTATCACACTGCTGGAAATGGCAGTTCTTGAATCAAATTTAATAGTGGTTTATTGTTCTGTAACTCTTCTAAGAACAGGCAAACCTGATGGCACTCTTAATTTACTGTTGTCTAAATTTCTTCTGTAACTGCAACCTTACTAACACTAAAAGACACTTTCCCTGACATTAAAAACACTATTTTGAATCCAGACAGAACACTGTACTCCTCCACAGTTAGGTGCTGAAAACAGAACCAGGCAAAGTGGCTGTGCTCCTCTGCAAATTTCCTAACCTGCCCCACCAAAATGCTAAGCTTTGACTAAAGCAAACAGGATCAGAGTTAAGGGACCAAATGACTTCTTTTACATCAAGCTGTCTGTTAGTGATTTTTTTCTACAGTGCAACACTTGTGAGCTGGAAAGGCAACTACAGTCACCAAAATCTGAACTAGATGACATGCATACCTGATAAATACAAATATGGTGCATCTCGAGGACTATACAAAACAACTCGTTTTTTCCCTGTTACTTGGATTAAGAAGTTATCCATTACCTGCAATAAGCACAGTAAAAGAATGTCAGCCAAGAGCTGAGAATGAATACATAGCCTGCAACTAATCTAAAATATCATTAGCTTAAAAGAGGGAATTAAAATTAAAACGAATCAGCTAAAATAGCTTTCACATATAGTTAATCTAAAAAACTCAAGAATGTGAGTTTACTTTACAACTTTGTGGTTTTCCTCAAATAGGAATCAAGTTCTTCCATCTTAAAACACATACTTTACACAGATAAACCAGCAAAATATAATACAAAATATATTGGGATTCCTTTTCTTTTTCAGTGTTAATCCTATCTCATTTTGCTGACTTCCTATTGGTAAAGGATTCTTTTTCCTAATTATAATGCAAACCCCTATTTTTCTTAGAAATAAATTTATTCAGAATTACACTGCACAATGTTAGAAGACAATCTTATTTGGAATCTACCGCACTGCAGCAACAGACCACCACAATCATTGTACAATTTTCAACAATCTGGCCATTAGAATAAAAAAATGAAAGTAATCTTGAAGTCGAAAGTGTTGAAAGTTACTGTGTTTCAGATTTTTAACTGAAACTCAAAACAGTAAAACAAAGGGGGGAAAAAATCAAATATCATTTAATCTTACAAGTATGGAATTAGACATAAAACCAGTAAGATACTATGCCCACATAATACATCTATTTAAAATTCACTGTACCACTATGATTCATTTCACTATTTCAAAATATGCCAAGTTTGTCATTAACTGATCTTTGTCAGAGATTTGCACCTTGATATCTCAACTCCGTAATGCCATCTGCAACATTTTATGCTAAACACATGCATTACCTACATCATAATGTGTCCATAACTGCAATCCAGCTGAGCTGATGCGGAAGACGCTAGAGAAAAACTGTTCCTTCTCAAAATACTCAGGAATCTGAACATCATCTGCCAGGATAGGAAACTGCTTTCTGATATCTGCAATATCCTGAAACAAAAAGGATGTAACTCTTAGAGAAACATATACGCACATCAAAATAAGGGAGCACTTCACGGTAATTTTGCATCACATGAAACACGGCGCTAGAACTTCAGCACTGACAAATAGCTGAAAATAGCAGTACTTTTTGCTGGTCACCCTTTCAGCACTGACTCGGTCAATGATATTAATAAGAACAGCCAAGAGAGCTACTTTGAACCATGGCTGCTAGAAATCACACTGAAGAGCAAGAGATCATCAGAAATCATTTTATATTCGTTTACAACAAAAGCTAAGGAACAGAAGGTGAGGAATGTACTCTGTTCAGTGATAAGCTAAGCTCTCATATAACAGCAACTATTTTAGACACTTAGGTTTAAATATTCTGACCTAAATCCAGTCAGATTCACAGGCCAAGTGACCATTACAAGCCTGTACTACGCAGCCAGCGGATGACAATGGGTTTTTTT